TTAATAAGTAGTTTGGATTGATAATTGTTCGAGCTTAGATAGTTCTTTTTTTTGTAATTTCATCATATTTAGTAGTTATTGTCAATTAACCACTTTTTCATGCAAAAATATTTATATACACATCTTTTTTTTCATAATTTTCATTATTTCCTACTAATTTTAAAAATTTTCAAAATTCCACATAACTCTCTAACCTACCAAAGATACATAAATCATATCTCCGAAAATCAATATTTATTCCTTTCTTATTTCACTCCACAAATCTCTCTCTATTTTAAGTTACACAATCTTAAAAGTTATTTTATCATTCAAGTTTATATGATATTTTGCTAATTAATATATACTATTGAATTACCGAAATAACAATGAAAATTTAGTATTTAAGAAAATTTAGTTTAATCTCAAAAAGATGAATTATCACTATTTTATTAAAGATATAACATCAAAATATATATGTTACCAAAAAAATATATACTAACTCACTAATACATCTTTGATTAGAAACATATTTACGTGGAACAAATAATTATGTGATGGATAAGCTTTTACAATGTAAATTAGAAGAAAGTAATAGTAGTGGTTTTTATTTAGTAATAATTAGTATAGTATTTGTAAACTTTTCATAGTTAGTTAATTATATTGTCATTGAAAATTTTTCTTGAAATATATAATATTTTTAATGTTTCTACTATTGAAAAACATCAAAAAAAAAGGAAGAAAAAAGTTGGATTTGTCATAGCATGAGCATCACTATCAAAGATACAGATTTTTAATGTATCTCGTTTATTTTGAGTCTTAAATTAGTTTTTGTTAGTGTTATTATTGATCTGACACATCACTGCTACAATTACGTTTGTTTTATGCAATAATTGTATATGTACTATGCTTTTTAGTTTTTCATATTTTTTTTTAAAAAAATCTTCTTTTCTCATCATATTACAAGTTCAAAATGAGAATGAATGGATCATCTCAATCTATAAGAATTACCTATTTGAATGTTATGTATATAGTTGTTTGTACAATGAATTATTATATACAAAACTGATCAAGGTATTTTGTATTGTTATATTCATATTTTAAGTTTTTTGTATATTCAACTAGTTACATATGTATATAAGTAATTACTTTGAAAAAATGATACAATTATTCAAACAATTTATATTCATTTTATTCACATTCGTATATAATTTGTTTATGCATATACAATTTTTTGTATATTTCTATATTCATTATATTTACATTCGTATATAAACTTTGTTTATACATATACAATTTTTTTTATATTCAACTAGTTATATATGTATCTAAGTAATTACTTTAAAAAAATCTAGTACAATTATTTGTATAATAATTTATTTTAAATTGCAATTTTTTTGTATTTTAAATTATTATATACAAAAGTGCTTGAGGGATTTGTGGGTATATGTATATAATAATTACTTTACAATTTTGGTGCAAATTAAACAATTTATATTCAATTTATTTACATTCATATATAAACTTTATATACATTAAAAATTTTAGCTTCTAAGAAACAAGTTTGTATGAATTTTTAGTCGCAATAAAATTCATTTATGAGAAAATATTTGATTTTGAATGTTTAGCTTAATTACGGGATTATGTAAATGTTTGTTACCATATTTAGGGCTATTGTTACTATTTAATGGAAAAGTAAAATATAGTACAAATTAAAAAAAAACGGTTTATACAAAATAAAAAACTACATAACAAACTATACCATACCTATAAAATATAATTATGTAAGCTATTCCGATATAATGTTATTTCATAAATATCATACAAACAACATATATAAATACATATACATCTTTAATATATATAGTTATACATCATATAAATATGATTATAGATTATTCTATACACTATCAAATATCAATACATTTCATATGCATATAATTATTCTGAATTGAATTTTTTTTGTCAGTTATATAAGACGTCCATTTTTTTCTTCCTATTTTTTGCATTTGGGCCAAACTTGTTTATTTGTTTTAGATTTTGTTTTTTCCCAACAAAACAGGCAAAGTCCAATCTTTTAATTATTATATTTAACAAGTAGTTTGGATTGATAAATGTTCAAGCTTCGATAGTTCTTTTTTGTAATTTCGTCATATTTAGTATGTTATTGTTAATTAACCACTATTGATAAATGTTCAAGCTTCGATAGTTCTTTTTTGTAATTTCGTCATATTTAGTATGTTATTGTCAATTAACCACTGTTGATAAATGTTCAAGCTTCGATAGTTCTTTTTTGTAATTTCGTCATATTTAGTATGTTATTGTCAATTAACCACTTTTTAATGCAAAAATAATTTTATATACATATCTTTTTTTTTCATAATTTTTATTATTCTCTTCTAGTTTTAAAATTTTTCAAAATCTCATATTTTATAACTCTATAACCCCCAAAGATACATAAATCATATCTCCCAAAATCAATGTTTATTCCTTCCTTATTTCACTCGACAAATCTCTCTATTTTAAGTTACAAAATCTTAAAAATTATTTTCTCATTCAAGTTTAAAATATGATATTTTGCTATTTGATATAAATTATTGCATTACCGAATTAAAAATAAAAATTTAGTATTTGATAAAATTTAATTTAACCTCAAAAAGATGAATATTTTAAAGATATAATAGCAACTATATGTTACCAAAAAAATATATACTAACTCACTAATACATATCTTAGATTAGAAACATATCTATGTGGAACAAACAATTATGTGATGGATAAACTTTTACAATGTAAATTAGAAGAAAGTAATAGTAGTAGTTTTTATTTAGTAATAGTTAGTATAATAATTGTAAATTTTTCATAGTTAGTTAATTATATTGTCGTTGAAAATTTTTCTTGAAAAATATATATTTATTTTAATGTTCTACTATTGAAAAACTTTGAAAAAAGGAAGAAAAAAGTTGAATCAGCCATAGCATGACCATCGCTATCAAAGATACATATTTTTAATGTATCTCGCTTATTTTGAGTCTTAAATTAATTTTTGTTAGTGTTATCATTGATCTGATAAATCACTGATCAATAACTTTTGTTTTATGCAATATATGATGTTCATATTTAAGGTATTGATACATAACTCTAATACCGTTGAATCTTTGATTAGTGTTTATTACGTTCAATATAAATATATTTGATACTTAAACTTTGTGTTATTTATCACACACACCAAAAAAAAGGCTATTTTAAAACAATTACATATATATTGTATTTTTAAAAAAAAATTAAAATATAGTATTTCTCAAACAAAATAAGATACATAAATATAATGTATCATACACTATTTTTTTTAGTTATGATACATAAATTAAAATTTATACTAAATGTATCTGATACATAACAATTACCAAACAATGATGTATCTATCTCAATCAATTAATATAATGTATTCTTTTTAAAATTTTAAAATGTAGTATTTCTCAAACAAAATAAGAGACATAAATAATAATGTATCATACACTATTTTTTTTAGTTATGATGCGTAAATTCAAATTTATACTAAATGTGTCTTATACATAACAATTACCAAACGATAATGTATTGATCCCAAACTTAAAATCTTATGGGTAACACTTATTTAATGTATCTAGTAGAAGTACACCATTTATCATTTTAAAAATCAAAAGGATCTTCATGATCTCAAGCAAAATAAGATTCATAAATAATAATGTATTATGTACTAATTTTTTAGTTATGCTACGTAAATTTGAATTTTTACTAAATGTATCTGATACATAACAATTACCAAATAATAATGTATCGATCTCAAACCTAAAATGTTATCGGCAACAGTTTCTTATTTAGTGTATCTAGTAGAAATACAACACTTATCAATTTAAATTGAAAGGATCTTCATGATGTATCTTCTCAAAAATTATGATATTTTAGTCAAAATTGAAAGAATCTTCAATGAACTGGAGAAGAATTTTGAATCTCAAAATTTTTGACAATCTTAAATCAAAATTGAAATGATATTCGATGAACTTGAAGATTCACAAAAGAAATCGTTTATCCAACAACAATTTCATACAATCCTTCATAACTCACTTACTTTCCAAAATTTCGACAAATTTTTTCTATGAAATAGAAAAAACGATGAACAAAAAGAAGAAATTTATTTTTTGATTTTTTTGGTTTGTTACACTATAAGATTTTGAATTCTTGACACTAATTTTGAATGGAATAACGTACTTTATGGGATCTTAATTTAAGTTTCAGTTTCCTCCCCCCCCCCAACCCCCTTAATTAGTGTAATAAATGAATACTAAAAGATTTTAAATTGATTTTACAACTTTTTTTTCCTTAATAAGTGCAACAAGTTGATACATAATGTATCGACAATAGTATATCGAAATCCTTAATTATATATCTAAAATATCAAAAAATATGAGATTTATGTAATTATAAATAATAGAGATAAAAGGTAATTAATTTTTTACAATATGTAAGTTATCCGTTTCTCTTTTAATACAATAATAATATTTTATTTGTAATGAATGATTTTTTAGGTTAATTATCCGGTCACAGTATATTCATGATATGTTTTGAATTTATATTAATTTGGATACAATTAAATTATTCTATTAAATCTAAGAAGTAATTTGTTGGCTAGTGTACTTTTTAAATAAAGGGCTCGTTGATACGTTGGATAAATATAAATTGTGTTGATATAAAAAAATTAATTCTGTCTTTATTTTTGTTTGGTCCATAATCTTAAAATAAGTTACTACTTTAGTAATTAGTATCAAAATAAGATATTTTTCCAATAATGCTGGAAATATAATTAATAATCTTCAAAAACATAGTCTGTCGTAAAGATTACAGAATCAGAATATCTTTTGTTTATTAATTCACACAATAAATAATTTTATTTAATTTGGATCAATCAATTAATTCTTGAATAATCAACACACACATGTGTGTGGATCATATTTGATGTTGATCTCTAGCAGTCAACTTGGACTGTGCTTAAAACTCTTCAACCTTCTTCCTCTTTTCTCCTCCTAGGTTTTACATTGTTATGGAATATTTTACTATTTATGTGAATCATAAGTAAAAATAAATATTACATGAGTGTCCCCTGCCCCTCTTTTAGTTCTTTGTATGTTCACTTGATATAAAGTAAAAGAAAAAGTATGGCAGGGGGGGGATTAGTGGTAGCAGCAAATGATGGAGAAGAGTACCATGGAAAGCTGACATGTTTTGTAATATTAGCTTCTATGATGGCTGCTATGGGTGGTCTAATCTTTGGATATGATATTGGAATTTCAGGTTTGATTTTTCATAATTTATATACAATCTCAATTGTCCAAAGGGAACACAAAAGAATGTTTACTTATTTCTACTGTGAATCAATTGATGTATTCTATTTCACTAACACCAAGTTTTGGATGATGTGAAGGTGGAGTGACATCTATGGAGCCATTTCTGAAAAAGTTCTTTCACGATGTGTACATTAAGATGAAAGAAGACAAACAACTTAGTAACTACTGCAAATTTGATAGTGAATTGTTGACATCATTCACATCATCTCTTTATGTGGCTGGTCTTTTTGCTACTTTTGTTGCCTCATCAGTCACCAGAGCGTACGGTCGCAAGGCGTCGATCCTTCTTGGAGGAGCTAACTTCCTCGCTGGTGCAGCCCTTGGTGGAGCTGCTTCTAATATCTATATGCTTATAATTGGTAGAGTCTTACTAGGTGTTGGTGTTGGTTTTGCCAATCAGGTAAAAAAAAAAATACTCATTTCCTTGTTTGGAACCTCGTCGTTTTTACTCTTAACGAGATGCTCTCAAATGTCAAGACATGTTTTAGAACCACAAGTTCTAACAGTACGTTTGATATGTGCCTAAAGTCTTTCATTTTTAAACTCCGTACTAGTCTAACGCTATCACTTAAAGCTAAAAACCTAAGTTTGTTGTGACAACTTTGCAGGCTGTACCGTTGTATTTGTCAGAAATGGCACCATCCAAGTACAGAGGAGGATTCAATAACAGCTTTCAACTAAGTGTAGGAATTGGAGTTTTAATAGCAAATCTCATAAATTATGGCACTGAAAAGGTCAAAGGTGGTTGGGGATGGAGAGTATCTCTTGCTATGGCTGCAGTCCCAGCATCCATTTTAACATTAGGCGCGTTGTTCCTCCCAGATACCCCCAACAGCTTGATTCAACGAACAAATGATCAAGAAAAGGTTAAAAGATTGCTGCAAAGAGTCAGAGGCACTGATGATGTACAAGCAGAACTTGATGATATTATGGTAGCTAGTGAAATTTCAAAAACTATCAAACACCCTTTCAAGAACATTTTACAAAGAAAATACAGGCCTCAACTTGTCATGTCCGTGGCGATACCATTCTTCCAACAAGTCACAGGAATTAATGTCATTGCATTCTATGCTCCTATCCTGTTTCGAACGATTGGACTAGGTGTAAGTGCATCTCTTTTGTCTTCTGTCATAACAGGAGCAGTAGGAATTGTGACAACAGGTTTGTCAATACTGATTGTTGATAAAGTTGGCCGAAGAGGGCTGCTGATATTCGGAGGCATACAAATGTTTGTTACACAAATGATAGTAGGAGGGTTAATGGGGGCTAAGTTAGGGGATCATGGTGGATTGAGTAAAGGTTGGGCCTTTGTGATTTTGGTGTTGATATGCATCTATGTAGCTGGTTTTGGTTTGTCATGGGGGCCATTAGGATGGTTAATTCCAAGTGAAATATTTCCATTGGAGATAAGATCAGCGGGACAAAGTATTTCAGTATCAGTGAACTTTCTCTTCACTTTCTTGGTTGGTCAAACATTTTTAGCCATGTTGTGCCACTTCAAGTTTGGGATTTTCTTCTTTTTTGGAGTTTGGGTGGCAATAATGACTGCATTTGTCTACCTCTTTTTGCCAGAGACCAAGAATTTGCCTATTGAGAAAATGGACAGGGTGTGGAGGGAACACTGGTTTTGGAACAGATTTGTAAAATGAAGGTATCATCAAAGAAGATCAAGGTTAAACAATTCAAAACAAGTCTACTTTCTCTATTTGTAAATTTATGGTTATGGTTACTTAGAAACGAGGTGTTTAGTAACTAATTCCCATTAAAGACTACGCAATATTGATCTGTCATTCCACAATAAAAAAAAAGTATGTCTCATTGACATAATTTGACAAACTAGTACATAATATGTTTACTGCTCAATTTTATCTTTCCTTTCTTATTTCTGATCTTACATCTATTCCCTCAAAGTCTCAAACAAATGAAAGAAGAAAGCTAACTAAATAAAGGCATAATAGATAAGCAAGCTCTTTGACTTGACTCAATTATGTCCTCGAATTTTGGATTTGTATAAGTAGAAATTTAAACTTGTATAAAATTGAACAATTAGACACATGCCCTCCTACGTGACATAATTTAATACATAGGACAACAAATATCTGCTTGTTCAACTTTATACAATTTTATGTTCGTATTTGTGTACACCCAAAATTGAAAATTGACGCCAAGTTCACCAATATATCTTATCTAAAATACCTAAAGCAAAAAACATTGAACCCATTTTCCTTACATTTTTTCTCATCATCAATATCAAGAAGTCAAAATGCCTTTTTGCACCTCAAACTGATCACAACTACTTTCCTTCTTGTTGCATGCCAGTCATTAATCCGGCAATATCACAGATCTAAGTTAAAGCAAAACAGAAGCATATTCTTTTTTTTCTCTTTTTAACTTCTTCTTGTATATGTATTAAATAAAATTGTCGAATTGAGTTGCTTCTTTTTTTTCTCTTTTTAACTTCTTCTTGTATATGTATTAAATAAAATTGTCGAATTGAGTTTTTGGGTTTCCGAGAAATTCCCCATTTTGATATTCATTTGACTCCAGTCAGGCGTTCTCGGGTCAGGCATTCTCGAGTCAGATTTTCTCAAGGAAGGCATTGTTAGGTCAGTCGTCGGTTCAGGCGTTGTCGGGCCATTCATTGTCGGGTCAGGGTTCTCGGGTCATGCATTCTTGGGTCAAGTATTCTTCCTTCAGGCATTCTCAGGTCAAGAATTCTCGGGCCAAGCATTCTCCGATTAAGCATTCTCTGTTAGGCGTTCTCCGGTCAAGCATTCTAGGGTAAGGCATTCTCCAGTCAGACATTCTCCGGTAAGGCATTCTCGGTTCAAGGGTTCTCAGGTCAGATTTTCTCGGGTTAGGTATTGTTAGGTCAGGCATTCTTGGGTCAGACGTTCTTCTTGGGTCAGACATTCTCCATTCAGGCATTCTCGGGCCAGGCGTTCTAGAGTCAGATATTCTCGGGTAAGTCATTCTCGGGTCAGGAATTCTCGGTTTAGGCATTCTCGAGTCAAATATTCACGGGTCATGCATTCTCGAGTCAGGACTCTTGGGTCAGACATTCTCAAGTTAGGCATTCTCGGGTTAGGCATTCTCAGGTGAGGCGTTATCGGGTTAGGCATTCACGGGTTAGCATTCTAAGGTCAGCCAGTTTTAGGTTAGGCATTCACGGGACAGGCGTTCTCGAATCAGGTGTTCTTGGGTCATTCATTCTTTGGTCAGACATTCTTGGGTCAGGCTTTCTCGAGTCAGATTTTCCTGGGGCAGGCATTATCGGTTTAAGCATTCTCGGGTCAGACATTCTTAGGTTAGACATGCTTGGGTCAGACACTCTCGGGTTAGACATTCTAGGGTTTGGCACTCTCGGGTCAGGCGTTTCGAATCATGCGCGCTCGGGTCAGACATTCTCTAGTCAGGCATTCTCAAGTCAAGCATTCTCAAGTTAGTCATTCTCGAGTCAGACATTCTCGAGTTAGGCATTCTCGGGCCAGACATTCTCAGGTTAGTCATTCTCGGGTCATGCATTCTCGGGTTAGGCATTCTCGAGTCAGGTGTTCTCGGTTATGCGTTCTTGAGTCAGGCATTCTACAATAGACATTCTTGAGTCGGGGGTTTAGGGGTGAGACGTTCTCGGGTCAGGCATTCTCGGGCCAGACATTCTCGAGTCAGGCATTATCGGATCAGGCGTTCTCTAGTCAGAAATTCTACTGTCACGCATTTTCGGGTTAGGCATTCTTGGGTCAGGATTCTCGGGCAAGACATTTTCGGTTAGTCGTTCTCTGGTCGAGATTGAAGTTTCTAAATTAATTTCGGTATACCAATGTCGAGATTAAAGTTTCTAAATTCATTTCGTTGTACTAATAAAAGTCCAGAAATGATTGTCGCGAAATCAAAAGATCATTTCTACAACTTATCTCATTAGTAACCGGAGAAACATTTCTATAAATATCTTTCTTGGTAACATTATGATAAAGTTGAGAATGCTGAACATAAGCTACCTTTTGCCCTTAGATTTTCATCCATGAAGAAGCACAAGGATTCTCATATTACATCTGGATCGTTTTGAGTACATGTCACAATCCAAGTTAAGGATTACATGTGCATTACTTATATGTGACGAAACTCGTATCTACACACAAAAAAAATTTTACACTATCATTGTATACAATTGAAATTGTTAAAAAGATTGAGATAAGAAACTACTAATAATAAGTAGTTTTCATAGCTTAATTTACCAATGTGTTCATTGATCTAACCTTAAAGTTATGTGGCCAATTTGGTATCTTTCTCTCATGACATATAGACAAGCGTTAGCAATCGATTTCCATCCATGTCGACCATGTTATGACCCCTTCCATCTATTAAAATCTAAAAGACTTAAGTCGTATGGAGCCCCTTAAAGTTGTCCGCATATTTTATTTGAACACCTCAACTTATTTTTGTGCCTATTGACGTCCGATATCATTTCATACGAGACATCATGGTGGATTCATAATGCAGAAAATTCATACTACGGATAATCCTGCCGATATATTGACAATAGTGGTGACTGTGGTCAAGTTTCAACATTGTTTGAACTTGATCAACGTTGTTAAACATTGAACATTGAGGTTGAAGACACAATCAAAATTGTTGTTGAGAGAAAGTTGAAAATGGAGAATCTTGCCAAGATGGAGATTTGTAAAATTTGACAAGATTCAAAAAATGGATTAATGAGAAGATATGGTAGTTATGAGGATAATTCTTCTTTGATAGAAAAGTCAAGATAACACCTTTTATAGGTGAAATTTAAGTGAACAATAAATTGGTTTCACAAGGTAAATAGGTAGCTCATAATTCATTTGCAACACACCTCTCACTTGCATCCTACGTTCTACAATAGTACATAAGCAATATACGACTTGCTATCCGACTTACTCTCAATTTTCTTATTTCTATACATGGATTTTTTTAAAAAAACTACTTAACATCATTAATTTATTAAAAATTGATTATAAAGATCAACGAAAGAGTAACACCAACAGCAACATTTTGACAATAATGATCATGCAAAAGGCTAAGAGAAGGCTGCGAAGAATCCAGGGAATAGAATATGTCAAAGTTATAACTTATAGTATATGACCTCATTAATGAAATTGACGTCAAATAACACTTATTTAAAGATATTATACAAAAGCTCAACTTGTCATGTTAATAGCAAATCCAAAATTAATTAATTTACATGCAAAATTAATTAATACTGTTTAGAACAATATATTGGGTTAGGTGAAAGTGAGTGGTTAAGGGAGTTGTTAGAGCTGATGCAATCTTTTTTTCTCTGTCATTACTATATATATTATAGACCTAGTCCGGCAGAGATTAATTTGGAGGAATTCAAATGTTGGTTGGCAGAGGCGAAACCAGGATATTCAATGAGGGGATTCAAAATATGTAGAAATAGATAGTCGAAGGTGAGTTCGACATCTACTATATATACGTATAAACTTATTTTAACCTAAATAATATAATTTTTCGTCAAAGGAGGTTCAGATAAACCCCTTGTATGAAGATAGCTCCGCCCATGTTGGTTGGAGCAATTATGGTGCTTATTGCTTAATTAAATTAAGGGACCATATGTGGTGTGACTGGGCTCAACAAGTGGTACAGCGTACCAGTTTTGATTTGCATTTACTTTGTTTGTCTTGGGGTCTAGTAGTGGGCTTAGCTTGCTAGTTACAAGTGAAAATATCTACTTCAGGAGATTAGTCAACTGCTCAATATATGTATCTTAAGGTGTTAGGGCATTTGTTTTTCGTGCTTGGTACCAAAGTCTGCATTGATTCCAAGAAATTATCGATCTAGAATTATTGATCCGTTGTATCGACAAAATTAAAAACATCCAAACAATAGTGTATATAACGTGAATCCACTTAATTAGGAGAACATTGGCATAATACAGGAAGTGTGACAAGAAGATAAAGAAGCCCAAAAATATGACTAGTTCAACTTAAAATTTCTTGTTCTATATATGATGAGTATGACCCTAAAGTCCAAATAATTAAATACGCCATCCAATTGCAAGGCATTGACCAAATTAATTTATGTAGGCATGTTGATTTTGTAGCTGTGCATGAGTCATGATGTATAGCTTATTATATATCTTACTCCTATAACTTCATGTTACATAAGTCAGAGCTTGCAATTTTCACTCTACACAGATTCCTTTGAACTTGTAGAGAAGAAATGGCAATTGGTATTGTCCCAACAAGTGAGGGTTCCGCGGATTACAATGGAAGGATTACGTGGTTTGTGGTGTTATCATCCATTGTTGCTGCAACCGGAGGAATCATCTTTGGTTATGATATCGGAATTTCAGGTATGTTTCCTCAAAGATATTTTCTCGAATTGGTTGTTGGCTTGTTGCTAACTTTTACTCATGTGTTTTACAGGAGGAGTGATCTCAATGGCGCCGTTTCTGAAGAAATTCTTCCCAGAAGTGTTCACTAAGATGACAAATGTAACCGAAACAAGCAACTACTGTGTATTTGACAGCCAACTGCTGACCTCTTTCACTTCCTCTTTATACATTGCTGGTCTTATTGCTTCCTTCTTCGCCTCACCAGTCACTCGTACATATGGTCGTAGACCATCAATTATAATCGGTGGAATAGCATTTCTCATCGGTTCTGCTCTTGGAGGTGCAGCATCCAATATCTACATGTTATTACTTGGTCGAATCCTGCTAGGTGTAGGTGTTGGTTTTGCAAATCAGGTACACTTTCTCCTCCTATGAACGCGTTTTTTTTCTTCTTCATAAATTGTACTACTTACTACCTATTTCATAACCTATGTCTGAACTCTGGCTGCAGGCAGTCCCTTTATACCTTTCAGAAATGGCACCTGCTAAGTACAGGGGATCTTTCAATATCGCGTTCCAATTATGTGTAGGAATTGGAGTACTATTTGCTAGCCTTCTTAACTACGGTGTTCAAAAGATTAAAGGTGGTTGGGGATGGAGAATTTCCTTAGCGATGGCTGCAGCTCCTGCTACATTTCTAACAGTAGGAGCATTTTTCCTTCCAGAAACCGCAAACAGCCTAATTCAACATGGAAATGATCATCAAAAAGCTAAGAAGATTCTACAACGTGTACGTGGTACAACCGATGTCCAAGCAGAACTAGACGATCTCATCAAAGCAAGTGACAACTCAAAAGCCGTCAAGCATCCTTTCAAGCAAATCATTAAACGGAAATACAGACCACAACTTGTTATGTCAGTAGTAATACCATTCTTCCAACAGGTGACGGGGATCAACGTGATCTCCTTCTACGCTCCAATTCTGTTCCAAACAATAGGCCTTGGCGCGAGTGCGTCACTTATGTCTGCTGTGGTGACAGGTGTGGTAGGCACCAGCGCGACTTTCTTAGCATTGTTGATAGTTGACAGGGTGGGGCGAAGGGCTATGTTCAGTTTCGGGGGAATCCAAATGTTTGTATCACAAATGTTGATAGGGATAATAATGGCAGTTAAGTTAGGAGATCATGGAGTGTTGAGCAAGGGGTATGGGCTATTGGTTTTGGTATTGATATGCATATATGTTGCAGGTTTTAGTTTTTCATGGGGTCCATTAGGATGGTTAGTTCCAAGTGAAATATTTCCATTAGAGATAAGGTCAGCAGGACAAAGCATAACAGTGGCAGTGGGGTTAACATTCACTTTTATAATTGCTCAAACTTTCTTGGCTATGCTTTGCCATCTAAAATCAGGGATTTTCTTCTTCTTTGGGGCATGGGTTGCAATTATGACTGCATTTGTCTACTTATTTCTGCCAGAGACAAGGAATTTGCCTATTGAAAATATGGAAAGCATATGGAGGGATCATTGGTTTTGGAAGAGATTTGTTTGTGATGAACAAGACTATGACAAGGGTGACACTACTTATACTAGTATAAGTTAAACATATTTCATGTTGGATAGTTAATTATAAGTTTTGGTTTGTAAATTTCACCCTGCATATAGGGGAATTATACATCTTTAGTTTGATTTTTTCTAGTCTTTTTGTCAATGTACTCAATAGTAATGGCACCTATTATTTTCCATTCATGAAAAGTGGCTAATTTGATATTTAAGCAAAACACATTGACTTCTTCATTTATTCTTTAATCATCTCATCTTTTAATTTAATTAATTCAAATTAACGCAAGAAAAAAGGGCTTCCTACCGAGAATTTTTTTTATTCCTAGGCTCGAATCATACTATTGTTGTTTTGGACAAAAATGATGCAATAATGCAAAGATGCGCATGTAAAATTTAGTGATTCAATATTACATTTGTCTTAATTTATATGACTTATTTTGTTTTACAAGAGTCAAATAGCTGAAGTTTGACCGAGAATTTGTTCATCGAATATATAATTTTTTTTAAATAAATTTTTTGTATTCATAAACTACATAAAATTATAAGCTAAAATAATTGATTATTAAAAGGTATATAAAATATTTACTATAAAAATAGACTTATTTGAATCGTGTTAGACCATTGAAGGATTGAATCTAATTCCTCTCCCCTCGAAAAAAGACTAGAAAAAAAAATTATTTGTCCTCCCTCATTGTAGGTAAACTAAACATAGGGCATGTTATCATGCAATTAAATAAAAAGGTCAAATTAATAGCAAAGGAAAATAGGAACGATGAGATAAGCGTAGGACGCGTTGCAGCGATATATTAATTATCCTTTACTCATTAGCTGGAAGCTCGTTACCTTAGTTGACTGCTAAAGTAGAAACCAAATATATCTTCGATATACTATCTTAAAACATTAATTATGTTATATTAAAAGTTTGATAGCTTTTCACGTAAATGGATTGTGACTAAGAATATGATATTTCCAATGACTTGTGACATTTCAATCAGATTGTGATTTTTTCAAGGTTGGGACTTTTCAAACGGATTATGATATCTATCTCTTTAAGGGGAATAAAGAAGGAAATAATAGAGAGAGAAAAATAGGAGATACTTACTTTATTTTAGATTCGCGATATATATCAATTTTTTTGGGAAAGAACTAAATAGCAATTACTCAAAAAGTTTCGGCCAGTTGATGTAATAGTTTGACTACACTTGGGAATTACTTATTTTTAACTAATCTAATTTTTACTTTTCTCTTTTGCCCAAAAATAAAGAGTAGCAAATTGTAATTATGGAAAGTTTATTTGAAATTAATCAATTTAGGAAACCTGCGTTTCCTATTTCTACAACAAATTAGTCTTTCTTCAAAGTGTGCATCACAAATAATCTTTTCTATTCATTCACTTGGATCAACTTACAATTTACAATCTACAATCGCAAGAAGATGGAGATTCCACAAATTACCTTCAATGAGTTTGAAGTTTGGACAGATGATTTTGTCATTCCAAAGTCCATCAACTTGAAGAGCATCGTCAACTCATCTACCAGTCCATTATTCTTGATCGAAATCCGGATTCAAGAATTCGTTCAGTACCTATCAAAGAAAGGGGATTCCATCGTCGAGGTCTTACTATTTGCGGAGTAATGCTATGATTCGTGACAATGCTGCTCCCGATGATTGTAACGACCTGTTTAGTCGTTTTGAGCAGCAGACTTTATTTCTGGAAAAACTGGCAGAAGCAACGGACCCCACAACGGACCGTCATGGGCACGACGGACCGTCGCAGGGTCTCGTTTCAAAACACTTAGAAAATCTGAAATTGGGTACTGAAAATCGACTCTCTAAACTTCGTAACGGAGTGGCAGGACGGACCGTCACAGGTATGACGGACCGTCACACCTGTGACGATTCACCCAAAATCCAGTTTCTGAACTATGCGACGGACAGCAGGACGGACCGTCGCAGGCGCGACGGCCCGTCACAGCTTGCGTAATCCCAGTTGGAGTCGGATTTCTGGTTAAG